CATTTTTGAGTGTTCTGAGCGTGCGATACGGCATCTTCGATATCAGCATTGCTTGTTGGTGCTGCTTGTTTCTGATCCGATGTCCTCGCCCTCCTCCCTCTGGGCGTCCTCCGCCGCGAGGACACCCACACCTATGAGGAGGACGAGAAGGTCGTGGTGTGGACAGACAAGGCAGCCCGCTCGCGTCGACCTGTAGAGAGGGAGGATGGGAGGAGGAGGATGAGGAGAAGGAGGAGGACGCGGAGGCGGAGGCGGCGGAGGAGGCGGAGGAGGCGGAGGAGGAGGAGGAGGAGCATGATGATGATGATGATGATGATGATGATGATGATGATGATGATGATGGTGGTGATGATGATGATGATGATGATGATGATGATGCTGATGATGGTGATGATGATGATGATGGTGGTGGTGATGATGATGGTGATGATGCTGATGATGATGATGATGCTGATGCTGATGATGATGCTGCTGCTGATGATGATGATGCTGATGATGATGATGACGATGATGAGCAGGATGAGGATGAGGAGGAGGAATCATGCTAGTAATAGTCATACTAACTTTACGAATACTAAACGAATCTGAGTCATATTCTTAATAAGAAGGGTACGACTATGAAAACTACGAAGAAGGGCAATACGACTAACACGTCGACAACTATTATTGGTATGATGAATAACTATACTACTAATGATACACATGCCGAGATTACGAATAATAGGAATAGTACCGATCACACGGCTAAGAATAACACTAATATGAATACGAATACCACGAACGAGAACAATAATTAGACGAAACATATACTAACACCCCTTATGCGACGAATGAGGATGGCAATGCGAATCAGACTGAAGACTATGATGATACTAACCATAATAACACTAGTACGAATAATAATGCTACTACTAACACCACTGATACTAATAACTGAACTAAACATAGTAATACGACAGGACGCATACGAATACTACGAAGATGAGGATGATGAGGAGGAGGGCGGAGGAGTAGGAGGAGCAGAAACGGATTAACTTTTCCTGGTCCTCACCAGAGGAGGATGAGGATGCGGATGAGGATGAGGATGATGATGATGATGATGATGATGATGATGATGATGATGATGATGAGGATGATGATGATGATGATGATGATGCTGATGATGACGATGATGATGATGATGATGCCGATGATGATGCTGATGATGATTATGATGATGATGATGCTGATGATGCTGATGCTGGTAATGATGACGATGATGATGATGATGGTGATGATGATGATGCTGATGATGATGATGATGATGATGATGATGATGCTGATGCTGCTGCTGATGATGATGATGATGATGATGATGATGATGATGATGGTGGTGGTGGTGGTGGTGATGCTGATGATCAGGATGGTGATGGTGATCGTGATGGTGATGGTGATGGTGATGATGATGATGATGATGATGATGATGATGATGATGATGATGATGATGATGAGGAGGAGGATGAGGACGAGGAGGAGGAGGAGGACGACCAGTGTAAATCCAACATTCATCAACGATTATGGAATACAACTTCCCTCGCCCTCTTCTTAGGCCCCATTCAAGGATTCATTCCCTCTGAGGGCAGTGCCCCGTTGGGGGACAGCCGTGTGAAAACCTTGTAGCGTTCCCAAACACCGCTACCAGAACTTCAACGCCTCGAGTGAGCCTGTTTGTTGCGTCTTGACGATGCAGAATCGTGCCAGAAAGCCATTCCTGGGACTCCAACACCGCGAGTGAACATAACTGTTGCGCCCTGACATTCCTGAATCGCTCCAGAACAATACTCCTGGTACGTTAACCATGAGAAGCTGTGGAACTCTTGCAATTTTTGAGACTACTGTGCGCGATGCTAAGGCGAGAGCCACATTTTGGAAATTCGCCGCCCTCAATCCGTGAAGCCCTTGCTACGTTTTAGAACGAATGCGCTAAGGCGAGAGCCACTTTTTGAAGACTAATCTCCCTCAATCCGTGAAGGTATTGCAAATTTTCAAGACGAGTGTCCGCGGCGCTAAGGCGGGAGCCACATTTTGGAAGCGACCCGCCCTCAATCCGTGAAGCTTTTGTAATTCTTAACATGAATGTGCGCGGCGCTGAATCGAGAGCCGCATTATGGAAGCGACCCGCCCTCCATCTGTGAAGCTGATGCCAGTTTTTCTGCTTGGGGTGCATCAGTGGTAATGAAGACTCAGGCCAAACGCCCGGCACGCCGCTAGCCTCGGGGTGCGGCAGGGAGGAGTTGTTCAGAAGGAAGAGGAACAAAGGAATGGAGGAAAAGGTGGCTGAGGAGAAGGAGGACGAGAACGAGGCGAAGGGGGAAGGACCGAGGGGGTACGGTGGCCGGGTTGTACGACGGCGCGGGAATTCGTCAGGCCGACGCTTGCCAAAGGACGCAGAGCGGAGTGGACGTACGTGCCTTTCCCCACCGCCCGCCAGACAGACGCCCTCCCGGCCGCTCGGACGTTGTGGCTGGGAAGGCTCGGGTGGGCGAGTGGGAAGGTCCTTCTGTTGTTCGAGGCGCACTACGGCCAAGAGCTTTTGCTTAGCGTGTCGCGCGACCAGTTCTGGCCCACCACGCCCTGGTGCGACACGCTGACCACGTTCCAGTCCCGAGGCGTCAACTTCCCGAGCGGTTTCCATCCCCCGACCCCGCGGAGCGCAGCGACAGGCTATTAGCTTGCAAGGCGCAGCGTGTCGCTGGGGCCGCCACGACGCGCTAAGCGCCAGTTCCTGATCGAGAGTCGCTCAAACGTGCGAAGCCCCCCCACCCTCCAGTATGACCCTCCGGTGTGACCCTCCGAAGCTATCATACCCCTCCGCAAGATGCCCGAGCAGCCTCGCCATCCCCGGCTCCGAAGCACTTACTCTGCGCCAGCAGGCTGGCTGCCCCGAGTGCGAAGGCCTTACGGCCGGTGCCGCCGACCCTGCAGACGGAGACGACGAGCAGGACAAGGACGTTGAGGAGCAGGAGGCGGAGGACGTCAGGGAGCAGGAGGGAGGAGGAGGAGGAGGAGGAGGAGGAGGAGGAGGTGGAGGAGGAGGAGGAGGGAGGAGGAGGAGGAGGAGGAGGAGGAGGAGGAGGAGGAGGAGGAGGAGGAGGAGAGAAGGAGAAGGAGGAGGAGGAGGAGGAGGAGGAGGAGGAGGAGGAGGGAGGAGGAGGAGGAGGGGAACAAGGAGAAGGAGGAGGAGGAGGAGGAGGAGGAGGAGGAGGAAGAGGAATAATAATAATAATAATATTAATAATAATACTAATAATAATAAGAAGAATAAGAAGAAGAAGGAGGAATAATAATAATACTAAGAGTAAGAATAATAAGAAGAAAAAAAAAAGAATAATAAGAATAATAATAATAAGAAGAAGAAGAGGAGGATGAGGAGGAGGAGGAGGAGAGGGGGGCAGGCTGGCTGCCCCGATTTTTTCCTTCTTCTTCTTCTTCTTCTTCTTCTTCTTCTTCGCGCGCGCGGGAGGATGGAGCTGGCCGAGCGACGGGGCTTGCCGTGAAGCTCCGAGAGCACTCAGGCGACCCACTCAACGAAAGGGTTCTCGGCGACGCTGCCACGCGGGTGGCGCCAGGCGTGTGGGGGTTCTTCGAGGGCAGGGGCCTTCTCAGAGAGGGCCTGGATAGGGGGTCACATGCGAACCCCACCCCTGCCCCCCACGATTTCTGAGGGGGAGGGTGGGGTTCACTTCGCTCGAGAGCTCCCCAGCGAAATAAACCCTACCCTCCGCCTCAGAAACCGTGGGGGGTAGGGGTGGGGTTTGCATGTGGCCCCCTACTGGAGCCTCCTGGGATCACCGAGCGCGTTCCGCTGCTCGCACAGTGCCTGCTCTCGCAAACGCTCAAAACCATGCGTGTCTTCCTGTGTGCCATGGATCGTAGATCCCTCGCGGCGGCGAGCAGAGTTGCTCTGCGAGTAGTGGAGCGCGCTCGTCTATGGGAAGCCTTTTTGGCAGCCTCCGGGCTGCTCTGAGAAAGCCCCCCCGCCAGCGAAGAGGCCCCCTCGCCTTCTTTGAAGGCCGCCTCCTTCGCGCCGCCCCCTTGCGAGCGCCGGCAAGAAGCCCTACGGATCACGCCACAGATTTGCTACTCGATGGAAAGCGCTCCAGGCGAGCGCGTTCCACTACTCGCAGAGTGCCTACTCGCAAACGCCCCCCCCTCAAACAATTATGTACGACGCATCGGAGCTCGTTTGCCTCGACGGAGTGGATGCCGGCCGTTTGCGAGCAGCTGCCTCGCGAGCGGTCGAGCGCGCTTGTCTGGTTGCTCGATGGAAAGCGCTCCTGCTGGGGGGGGGAGGGTGACGCCACCGCCCCGCGTTCTTGGCGCCGCGCGGCAACTTTCATCGGAGAGTGGCGGGGTGTGAAGGCCGCGAGGCTGGGGGCATGGGAGGGGTCGACGCCGGCCTGGGAGGGCCCCCTCGCAGCCGCCAGGACGGCCCTTGAAGTCCTCAAGAGATCAGCAGCACAGAATCGCAGGCCTAGAGGTTGACACCAACACCAAGATCGGCGGTGTGCCTCCACTGAGGGAAGACGATCCCGATCTCCGTGATAGTGGTAATATTCTGGCTTCCAGGGTGGCCGAAACATTGCCACCAACACCGAAATCTAGTATCATCTTCCCCCTGTGGAGTCACCCCACTGGGCTGGTGTTGGTGCCAATTTCCAGGCCTCCAACCGAAGGGCCTCTGGAGGAAAGCAGCAACGGAGGGGGAGAACGACATGGGAGCGCGGAGCATAAACAGGGAGCAGTGCCAGTTAGTTCTGAGCCCTCACAGGGGCCTCCAGGAGCCCTCGTGGGGCGTCCAAGACGGCCCACGAGAGCGCCAGGAGAGTCCCCAGACGGCCGAAGACAATTCAAAGAAAATGTGGGGCAAGCACCCAGGCTTGCAACGCGGTCAGTAGCCACGTCCCGCCTCCCGCATCCCGCGGCTTGCTTCCTCCGCTGCAGCGGCCTCAGATCCTCGCATGGCCCCAGGCGTCGCCGATGCCACCGATCAGCAGCAGGGCGGCCACGAGTGCAAGGTCGGGACGGCGCTGGCCGCAGCCGCGAGAGCTCAGGCTGGCGTGGCGGCGAGGGCTGCTGCCGCGACGGAGGAGGCGAAAAATAGCGTGGCGTTCTATTACGACGCCTTCGGTGGGGCGAAGGTTGAGGCACTTCTGGATGACATCGACCTGATTGACGTGGCGTACATGATATCGATCGCCGAGGCGGGCGGCACGGTGCCACGTTGGCAGAACGTGCCGCCCACGGCGCGCATCAACAGGACCAACGCGTGGCGGCTCCGCAGCTACGGGAGCGCGGAATCTGAAGAGCGTCCTCTCACGCTGCCCATCCTCGTCGTATCCTACCCGTGGCTTGACAAGAGCCATCCGGATCAGCACGGTTTGACGTTGCGACGCATGTTGCCCGTTCTGCGCGCGCTCTACGAGCAGGCCACGTCATTTGGCTCACACACGACGGTGGGCGTGTTCCAGGACTTCATGTCGTTGCCCCAGATCCCACGCACCAGCGAGGAGTATGAGCGTTTCAGGCGGGGGCTTGCGACGATGGCGGGCTTGTACGCTCACCCGTATACCATCGTGCTCACAGTGACAACCCCCATCCCAGGGGACGGCAGCTGCGAAAACACGGTCGCTTACGCCAGGCGCGGCTGGTGCCACTTCGAGCGCTGCGTGGCCAGCCTCGTCAAAGACACCTGCTGCCTGTGGGACCTCGGCCGGCATGCGGAGGGCCTGCCCACAGACGTGCGCAGGTGCATGGAGGACCTGCGGGCGTCCCGCCTGGCGCCGACCAGCCCAGACCAAATGGCAAAGGATCTGAGCCAGCTTGCCTTCACCAACGGTGCCGACATCGAGAAGGTGATCGATCTACAGGCTTACGCCAAATCCGCCGAACCCTTCTGTGAGTGTTGCGAGGCCAGGAGTTTCTGGCCAGCGGCGTCTTGTGTGAGGGTGCGGTGTCGCGCGCGGGTGGTGGCAGATACGTAGGGTGTCCAAATGTTTGGGGTCTTTTGGGGGGGGGGGGTTGTGGGGTCTTTTGGGGGGCGTTATGGGGTCTTTTGGGGGGGTATGGGGGGGAACTATCTCACACGCCTAGAGACCCACAAGGGGTCGGCGGATCTGTACAAGGCCGCGTTCATCCGCGCGTTCAACGAGTACAGGCAAAACGACCAGGACGGCTCCATCTCCTACCAGTCCCTCCGATGGGGCGGTGATGAAAAGCAGGTATCGAACCTCGTGGCGGCCCTTCAGTACGCGGAATCGGAGTGCCAGCCGAAGGACTCGAAGGGGGTGCATGACGCCGAGCTGAGACTGTACTTTGGGAATAACAACTTCAGCCCCGCGGAGGAGGAGCGAGTGCGGCAGGCGATCCCCTTTGCCAGTGCCAAGTTCCAGCTGTACAGAGACGGGGAACTTTGGACCAATCGCAAGAACACGTGCCACTGCCAAGTGCAGTGAAGCACGGGTGGTTGAGGGATCCATGGCGGAGCCCCGCTGCCAGCGCCAAGGACATGGCCCCCCTGTTCTTCTTTCTCCGCGCGCCCCCCGGCCTGGCCATGGTGTACGTGCGAGCCCCCCTCGTGGACGCCCCCGAGGGAGGGGGGGCGGGGGCGGAGGGGGAGAGGATGGCGAGGGTAAGGCCGAGAGAGGGGGAGGGCGGGGAGGAGGGGGAGCAGGGAGCAGGGAGCAGGGAGGACAAAAGCGGAGCCACGGGCGGCTCGGGGATCCCCGGCGATGCGGTGGCCCCAGAGGTGCTGGCCGCGCGACGCGGCCCTCTTGCTGCGGCCGCGCTACTGTCCGATGCACATGGCGCACAGGGCGCTGTCGCGGCCTCCCCTGGCCGCGCTGCTCGCGCGCCGTGCCTCCCGCGAGCAAGAAAGCGACTGGAGAAGTCCCACGAGCCTGAAGTCGGGCCTGTCCCATCTACAGGAGGAATATTCAAGCATAGTCAAAACATAGGCAGGGAACATTTTTTGGACCATTTTTGAGTATTGTAAGTTTTCTTGTGTTATGTATATATATATATATATATTCTATTTGTTGTTTGTTTTTCGTTCACAATTCACAATTCCCCTGTAGGGGGACAGGCCCGAGTTAACACGAGCCGCACGAGATACGCGAACAGGCGCAAGGAGGAGCCGGGGACGGCCGAACTCGTCGAGTCCAGTGTGCTCCTGTCGGCCTGTGACCTCGTCGGACTCTCGGCTCCACGTGACTCCCAGAGGGCCCAGCGGGTTCCGGGACCCCCCAGAGGGCCCCTGCGGCGGTCCACCTTGGCCCAGGTGCACCGAGATGTTCCCAAGACGGCCCCAAGAGGGCCGCCAGAGCGGTCGAGACAGGGCCCGGGAGCGGCCGGAGGCCTCCCATGCGAGGACGGGCTTGTTCTTGGGGCAGAGTGGAGGCCAGCGGACGCCCGGCTCGCAGCCAAGTGGAGGGGCGGCAGAGTGAGCAGGCCGCTGGGAGAACCCCAGGAGGGGGTTCCAGGGTTCCGAAAGACGGGTGAGTACGAGGAGCGTGGAGCTGAGAGGACGAGTGAAAGTTTCTTCGATCGCAAATCCTGGGAGCCTTGTGTGCCATTGTAATTTTGTCGTTAGCGTCGATTAGCGTCTGGTCATCGATCATCTGGTGCCGATCTAGTGCCGATCTGCGTCGATTTAGCTTCGATTAGCGTCGACTAGCGTCGACTAGCGTCGATCGCAAGAGCCAACAAGATGGTACGGAAGGCTCCCATGAGTTGCCACCGAAGGAGCGTGGAGCTGAGAGGATGAGTGACACTTTCCATGACCGTGCGGCGGGGATATCGCACGCTGTTCCCCAGTGGGGTGGCGGGCCGCTACGTGCATGCTGCTGGCCCACATATTCCTCTTCCTATATTTTTATGAGCCCGGGCGGGGGGAAAACCCATCCCCCCCTCCCAAAAAAAAAACCGGACTCCCGGGACCTGGGGCTTTGGGGCCCTCAGGACGGGGCTCGATGCGGCCACCGGGCCTCGCAAGGCGTTTTGCCAAGCCTTCCCAGCACACTCAGGGCGATCAAGGGGGTCATCGGAGACGTCCCAGAGACCCCCAAGACAGCACAAGAGCGCTCCAAGAGTGACCGACGTGACCTCAAGATGGCCCAAGAGGCCTCCAGGACGGCCCCAAAGAGGCCTCCAAGAGCACTCCCAAGAAGGCCCCCCGAGGCAAAAATCATTGATTTTCTGCGGGTTATTGGTGAATTTTGGGGTTCTCCTCTTTTCGGCTTCCCGACGCTCCAAGACGGCGGTCTTCTGGGCGTCCGAAGCCGCCTGGGAGGCTCCCAAATCGCCCCACAACCATCCGAAATGGCTTCCAGGCAGTCCAAGAGAGCCCCAAAACGGCACAACACGGGTCCAAGATGGCCCTCAGAGAGCCCCATGGCGGCCTAAGATGGCCCAAAGACACCCTCCGAAGAATTCCAAATCGTGTTTCGGTCGTTCAGGGAGACGACGGCGGTTGGAGGCAGGGTGGCCCGAGGAAGCCCCCAGAGGCCCCCAGAATACGCCCAGGAGGCCTCCTGAAGGCGTTAAGAAAGCCTGAAACAACTTTTGTGAGGCCCCTAGAGGCTCTCCAAGGAGGAGCCTCCGCAAAAAAGAGCTGAGGAGGATGGGGAGAATGCGCAGGGTATGGCGAAAATAAAGAAACAGAAGCATGGAGGAAGGATAACGAATAACATCATTATAGCGGCGATGCCGGAAAAGGCAACAAGGAGTTATCGCTAAATTGTCGGCTTGACCTTGCTGCCATTCCGCCTGCATACCAAACTTCAAGGACCAAGGTGCATGGCGCGAAGCGCCACTGCAATCTTTTATTTATTATTTATTATTTATTATTTATTATTTATTATTTATTATTTATTATTGATTATTTATTATTTATTATTTATTACTTATTATATATATATATATATATATATATATATATATCGGAGTAGGGCCCGGGGGCGGCCCGGGGCGCTGCCAGTAATCTCCATGGGGGGTGCAGGGCGCCCCTGGGAGCGTCCGAAGCGTCCAGGAGGGCCCCTGGGACCGCCAGGAACAGTTCGAGACCGCCCAAGACGGCCCGCGAGCGCTCCAAGACGCGCATATATAGCCTCAGGAATGGCCAGGAAGGCCCGAAGACGTTCCAAGAGAGCTCCATGAGGCCCCGAAGGCATCCCAAGAGGCCTCCCAAGAGAGCCCCGACAAGCCAAAATCGTTGATTTTTATTTTCTTTTCGAGGTTTTTGGCCTTCTCGCTTTTTCGGGGTTCCGACGCTCCAAGGCCGTCCAAGAGTCTCCCAAAACCGCTCCAAGACGGCCGAAGAGGCCCCCAAGACCGCCCCAAGACGGCCCAAGAGACCCCCAAAATCGTCCCAAGACGGCCCAGTCAGAGATTCCCTTATTTTTGAGGGCGGCTCCCCAGGATTGTCATCGCCCTCTGGCGTGTCAATCTTAGGGATAGGGGTGCGCTCGAGGCTGGTTACAATCGGTGCCCCCGCTCAGCCCTTTCGCTGGTGCGCATCGCCGGCGCGGCGCCTCGTCGCCGACGGACGAGAAGTGTTCCGACAGTGCTGAGCCGTCCTGGTGGCCCGTTGAAGTCGATGCAGTGGCAGAGGAGGAGGAGGAGGAGGAGGAGGAGGAGGAGGAGGAGGGAGGAGGAGGAGGAGGAGGAGGAGGAGGAGGAGGAGGAGGGAGGAGGAGGAGGGAGGAGGAGGAGGAGGAGGAGGAGGAGGAAGAGGAGGGAGGAGGAGGAAGAGAGGCGGGTGTTTGGCGCTTCGCGCCGGGCCTACCGTCGAGGCGCCGAGCCCAGGGGCGACTGGGTGCGGCAGCGGCTCGCGGTGCCTTTGGAGCCTTCCGTGGCTGCTCCGGCCCTCCTCGTACCCCTGGGCGCCTCGGGTGTCTCGGGGGCGGCAAAGAGGGGGGTGATGACTCGGGGGGGGTGGATATCATGGCGTGGGTCATGATATTTCCCCAGATTTCATGGCGCCTCTCCTTGTTTCATTGCGTCCCTGGCCCCCCCGCTGGGCCGCGCACATGCCGCCGGTCATGATTTGCACCCCCCCCTCCTGGACACCCCCCTCTTGGCCGCTCCCGAGTGCCAACAGAGGGGCTCCGCTCTTTGTCCAGAGGCTGCCGCCTCTGCCGCCGACCCCAAACACGTCCATCGAGGCTTGCTCGCCTCAGGTACGCGTTCGAGCCAGCCGTTGCTTCTCGATCTGGTGATGTGTGTGTGTGTGTGTTGCCGAAACAGATGACGGCATGCGACTACTCACGAAGAGCCTCGCGAGGGACACCGAATGTGGGTTCGGAGTGACATGCATCTAGAGGTCTTCGGTCCATCCCGCCACTGAGCCTGGCTTGAGGGTCAGACGCGTGTAGGAGGGGCCTTGAAAGTACACAGAGACTCCAGTATTCAAGAACCCTCGAGAAGGAGCCTCGTGTGTGAGTGAATCGCGAGGCAGTCTTGAGCGGGAGCCACCCCTCCATGGGGCCCGCACATCTGAGGTAATCTGAGGGGGCCATCCGACATTTCTAACTCTCGTTCTTGTTTGGGTTCCTCAGGGTTACAAATGGGAAGTTTCAAGCGGGAGCTTCGTCGGTGAGTGAATCGTGTGGAAGTCTCGAGCGGGAACTTTTGGAACGCATCCGAATCCCCAGGAGGCCCCAGAGCCATTAGGAAACCGTAGGAGGACCACAGGAGTTCCCAAGACGGCCCAAGAGGCTTCCAAGACGGCTCCAGGAGGCCCTGAAGATGGTCCAAGAGGGCCCCGAGACGGCCAAAGATCGCCACAAGACGCCCAAGATGGTCCCGGTATTGCCCCAGAGGCATCCAAAACGCTTCAAGAGGCCTCCAATATTCCCAAGACGGCCCCAGGACGCAACAATTGTTGATTATTCTATGGTTTCAAAACCGGTTTTTTGGGTTCCCGACGCTCCAAGACGGCCCAAGATGGCCCCCAACCCGCCCCAAGACGGCCCAACAGGCCCCCAATAGGGCCCCAAAACGGTCCAAGAGGGCCCCCAAACGGCCCAAGTGGCGCCCAAGATCGCCCAAGAGGGCCCCATGATGGCCCCAAAAAGCGGCCCAAGAGGGGGAAGACGAATCGACATTCGAGCCTTCCGCCCCAGGAGGCTCCCTTGAGGCCCCAAGCGGCCCCCAAGAGAGCCCAAGAGGCCCCCTAGAGGCCCCACGAGGCCCCCAAGAGGCCCAAAAAGAGGCCCCCAGGGGCTCCCAAACAGCCCCCAAGAGGCTTCCAAAACTGCCTCCAAGAGGCCCCCGAGAGGCTTCCCACGATATCTAAACAAACTTCAAGAGGCTGCAACCCACAACCCGGGCACGATGGCGGGATGGGCCGAAGGCCACATAGACGGTCCAAGACGCCCAAGATGACCCACAGACGGCCCAAGAGGCCCCAAGATACCCAAGAAGCCTCCAAGAGGTTCCCCCGGAGAGCTCTAGAAAGCCAACAAACACGTCTTTCCATAGGTTTTTGAACAGTTTTGGAGTTTCCGCTTGTCACCGAGGTGACGGAGTAGACGGATCAGGCGTTGCATCGGTCCTTATATCACCTTCGCCGTTTTTGCGCTTGAGCTTTTCGGAATGCAATCCCGAGGAGGGAGGCAGGAGGTTGCGGTTGTGGTGTTGGGGTGCAGATGCTTTTCGCGGCCAGTTTAAAGCAATTCATGCACTTCGCACGGCAGTGGGCAGCGGAGAAGAACGGTGGTCGTTGGCGCCACGATGTGGTCCACGTGTTGCCGGGCGGGGGCTGTCCCTCTGTTGGCGGCTACTACTCTGCGTGCTCCAGCCTAATGACGAAGACTCTAAATTTTTCGCATGGCAGTCTGCATCTTTTTTAGGAATGGTGGTCGTTGGCGCCACGTTGTGTTTCACCCATGGCCAGGCCGTCCCTGGGCATTTTTATCTTGATTGCTGCGCACGGCAGTGGGCATCTTAGGATAATGGTGGCCGTTGGCGCCACGATGTGGTCAACGCATGGCCGGTCGGGGGCTGTCCCGCCGTTGGCGACCATCACTGAGCATGCTCCCGTCCAAGGACTTCTGACGCCCGCCTTTCGTCAACACAACAAAAAAGGCCCTCAGACGAGCCGATAGGGCCCCCAAACGGCGCCAGAGATTCCAAAAACGAGCCCAAGAGGCGTCCAGGGCGGCTCCTATAGGGGCCCGCGCCCGCGTTACCCTCACTGGCGGGGCTCTGGGGGCGCTTCAAATGTTTTCGGTTCCGAAGCGGTCACAAGTCGCTCCAATAGGGCCTCAGAGGCCCCCGAGACGGCCCAGCACAGCTCCACGCGGATCTTCACGAAGGCACGAATCAACAAGAATCGTCAACATCCAATGGAAAAGCATGCATCTTTCAAACATGGGTTTTGCGTTTCTTTCCGGCGTCCCACAATGCCCAAGGCGGCCCAAAGATCGCCCCAAACCGTTCCACTTGGCGCCCGAGAGGGCCCTCAGATGACCCAGGAGGCGCCCAAGAGGCCTCATGACGACCCAACAGGCCAACAGGGCCCCCAAACGGCAGCGGAGACCCCGAGGACGAGCCCAAGAGGCGTTCAAGGCGGCTCCGAGAGAGGCCCGCGCCCACGTGGCCCTCCACAGCTGGGTCCTCAGAGCGTTTCAGATGTTTCTCAGAAGCCGGAACATATACATTACCAGTGGAGGGCTGTTGTTCAATCCCAGGACTTCTTGAGGCTCGAGGCCGACGCTGGGGTGGGGTGGTGTATATTTTTCCCCCGATGTCCCGGGAAGGCAACGACAAATGTATACACTGGGGTCCCGTATACACCAGGATCCGCTCTTCAGTGCAACAAATTCCAATGCAGGTCCAGAAGAAGCGTCGGTGTATAGAGTTCGATTCCCTAGTTTCCGAGATGGCGCTAGGTCACTCCAGTCTGGCCTCAGTGGCCTCTGGGCCGGCTCTGGAGCGCTCCAAAACGGCTTACCTTTTAGCTCCCAGAGGCCCCCCAGAGGGTCCCAAGACGACCCCACAGGCGTCGCTACGTCAAATCCGTCGGTCATCGAGGCTCGAGTTGGGTTTTCTCCGCGAGCTATTCTTGGGGGTCGCGGCTACCCTGGCGCTGGCACCTGCGAGATTTGTTTCTCAAAATCTGTTTAAGGCGATGGAGCTAACTTAGGGCGTCACGGCTACCCTGGCGCTGGCTCGCAGGGCAGGGTTGCATTGTAGTCATCGTCGTCGTCATCGTCGCAGTCGTCGTTGTCGTCTGTCGTCGTTGACCTCTGTGTCGTACTCGCCCACGTCGCATCCGTCGTTCATCGGCGCTCGAGGACGGCCCCAAAGAGGGCTCCAAGAGCATTTCCAGGAAGGCCCCCCGATGCAAAAATCATTGAATTTCTGTATGTTTTTGGTGAATTTTGGGGTTCTCCTCTTTTCGGCTTCCCGACGCTCCAAGACGGCGGTCTTCTGGGCGTCCGAAGCCGCCTGGGAGGCTCCGAAATCGCCCCACAACCATCCGAAAGGGCTTCAGGCAGTCCAAGAGAGCCCCAAAACGGCACAACACGGGTCCAAGATGGCCCTCAGAGAGCCCCATGGCGGCCCAAGATGGCCCAAAGACACCCTCCGAAGCATTCGAAATTGTGACTCGGTCGTTCAGGGAGACCGCGGTTGGAGGCAGGGTGGCCCGAGGAAGCCCCCAGAGGCCCCCAGAATGCGCCTAGGAGGCCTCCAGAAGGCCTTGAGAAAGCCTGAAATAACTTGTGTGAGGCCCCCCGAGGCTCTCCAAGGAGGGGCCTCCGCAAGAAAGAGCTGAGGAGGATGGGGAGAATGCCCAGGGTATGGCGAAAATAAGGAAAAATAAGCATGGAGGAAGGATACCGAAAAACATTATTATAGCGGCGATGCCAGAAAAGGCAACAAGGAGTTATCGCTAAATTGTCGGCTTGACGTTCCTGCTATTCCGCCTGCATGCCAAACTTCAAGGACCAAGGTGCATGGCGCGAAGCGCCACTGCAGTCTTGTGTATATATATATATAGATATGTATGTATATCGTCCCTGCCATTCGCCTGCGTGCTCGTGGACATTGGCGATCTGTTGTGTTGTGGTAGTTTCCACAATCTGTCGTGTCAAGCTCGCGTGGGGGAGAAGCATCCGCTTGATGCATTGAGTGCGGCACTCAACCGAACGCGTTTCCACCCAAGTCTCGCCATCGGAGCCCAAAAGCACGAGAAGGCTATCAAAAAACCTTCGAAGGGCTGTCAGAGCCTGTTGGGGGACTCCTGGAGGTCTCTGGGGGGCTTCTGGAGGCTTCCTGGGAGCCCCCAGGGAACTTCTTGGGGCCTCCTGGGGGCCCATTTCGGGCTACCTCGAGGTTTCTTGAGGGCCACCTTGGGTTTATCTCGAGGCCTCTCGGGGCCAACCTTCGGGGGGCCCTCGTGGTGCCTGCCCCCCCCCCCCCCCCGCCGGCCTCCGCTGCGGGGGCCGCCGCCGGGCCGCTCCTGGGCCTCCCCTGGGCTCCTGTGCCTGTGCAGCCCTCTGGAGGAGCCGCGGGGCCCTCTCAGCGAGGACTCCTTCGGGCCCCTCCTGCTCTGGGCACCGCC